TCAGAATGTCATCAATGAACACTATCACAGATTTATCAAGGAACGGATTACAAACCCTGTTCATTAAATCCATGAATGCTGCTGGAGCATTGGTTAGTCCAAACGACATAACCAAAAACTCATAGTGTCCATATCGGGTTCTGAATGCAGTCTTCTCTATATCCTGCTCTCTTACTTTTAGCTGATGATATCCTGACCTCAAGTCGATCTTTGAGAAATAACTTGAACCTTGTAGCTGATCGAATAGGTCATCAATCCTCGGCAACGGATATCTATTCTTTATTGTTGCCTTATTCAGCTCTCGGTAATCAATGCACATCCTCATGCTTCCATCTTTCTTCTTTACGAATAACACCGGAGCTCCCCAGGGTGATGAACTAGGTCTAATGAAACCTTTGTCCAATAACTCCTGAAGTTGCATCATTAGCTCCTTCATCTCCGTCGGTGCTAATCGATAAGGTGCTTTTGCAATTGGCGTTGTTCCGGGCAACAAGTCAATACGAAATTCTACTTGTCGATCGGGCGGTAATCCAGGAAGATCTTCGGGAAATACTTCCGGATAATCACACACAACAGGAATATTTTGCATCACCTTCTTTTCCTTCTTAGCATCGATCACGAATGCTAAATATGATGTACATCCCTTGGTCAAACACTTTCTGGCTTTCATTAGGGAAATGATTCCAGAATTTACTCTGCGTTTATCTCCATACACCATAAACGATTCCTTTCCAGGCGGATTCACTTTCACTATTTTCTTCTTGCATAAAATTTCGGCATCATTGGCACTAAGCCAATCCATTCCCAAAACGATGTCGAAACCATTAAGTTCTATAGGTAATAATTCCTCGTGGAACTTATTCCCATTCAAATCAATTAAAATGTTTTTCATACGATGGCTAACAGGTACAATCTTGCCACTAGCAACTTCGACTAATAAAGCATTATCTAGTCTCACAATAGGCAAAGCTAGTTTTCTACCAAATTCATGCGATATAAAGGAGTAGTTGGCTCCAGAATCAAATAAAATTTGGGCAGGCAATTTGTTAACGAGAAAGGTACCTGAAGCGACATCAGCTTCATCTTTAGCAGCTTCCAGTGTCATCTGGAATGCTCTCGCCTTTGGCTTTGGCGGAATGTTGGGTCTTGCTGCCTCCTTCTTCTTCGGACAATCCCTTGAGATGTGCCCCTCCTCACCGCAACCATAACAAACATTCTTGGTGAAGGTGCATTCGTTGGCATAATGCCCTGGCTTTCCACATTTGTAGCATGTGGTTTCCCCGCCACACTTCCCATGATGCTTCTTCTTGCACTTGTCGCACCATTTCGCCTCTACCTTTCCTCCACTTCCTCTCGAACTAGACTTCGAGAATTTACTTTTCTTGCTGGACCCTGAAAATCCATCGATTTTCCTTTTCTCACCAACCTCTGACCTTTCTAGACCTTTTTCCCTGATCTGGGTCTCAACATTTCTAGCAGCCCAGATGGCGGCTTTCAATGTGGTTGCTTGCTTAACCATTGGACCATAGTCCGCTGGTAGTCCAAGGGCAAACTTGTTGACCTTAGAGAGTTCTGTAGGCACCAAATATGGGATAAACTTCATCTTTTCCGTGAAACTTGTAGCGTATTCAGTAACGCTCAATTTCCCTTTCTTCAAATTCTGAAACTCATTACTGATTTCCAGAAGGTCCTGCTCGGAGCAGTATTGCAGTTTTAGTTGTTCCAGAAAGTCTTCCCAAGACATTTTGCTTGCTTCTCCCTTGGGCATAGAGTCAGCTAACAGCTTCCACCAACTCAACACGCCAGATTTTAGCAGAGGGATCGCAAGAGCGGTCTTCTGCCTGTTGCTGCATTCGCAACTTTCAAACATAGTCTCCATTTCAGAGACCCAGTCCATAACTTGCACCGGCGTCGGGCTTCCGGATAGGCATGGTGGTTTGGATGCCATGAAATCCTTATACTTGCACCCACGACCATCATTTCCTCCATACTGGTTATTGCGTCTAACCACTGGTTGTTCGTCTTGACCAATGATCCCACTAAAGTTTTCTCCTTCAGACTGCCCTCCATTCTCCTCGGGCTCTTCCGCTTGAATTGACGGTTCTTCACGATTCTGCCTAAGCAGGCGTCTTGTTTCTTCCATCTGACGATCCAACATCATTTGAATCATCATTTGTACACCAGCCATTGTTATCGGCTCAGGTGCAGCAGCTACGACAGGTACTTGCTCGATTACAGGCGGTTGATTCCTGTTTTCATTAGCATTTCCAACTCCGCTTCTTGTTCTCACCATTTTGATCTATACACCGAATAATTTCACCTTATTACTCCAAACGATTACATGCTAGTTCTAATATCGTATACATACGCTTAGAATCCTAAACACATAAACCTTCAGATCCGGTTGGCAACAAACCATAGATCCGAACAAATAATATCATATATGGCAACATATAACATTTAGCACATAAAAGCATTTTAGGCAACTTTCCTAAAATAAACTAGTGCTTGTGTCTAAGATCCAACAGACACACACCTCGCAATCTCCACTTAGAATGCTAAGTTTAAGTTTAGAAATCCTACAAATTCCTAATTCGCTTAAACTAATGCTCTGATACCAACTGTGACATCCCCAAAATCTCGGCCAGAAAAGACCGATTTCATTTATGCTTTTTAAAATAATTTTCAGAGTAAATCCTTTTAATTTTAAAAGAGATGCGGAATTTGTTCCCAAAAACAAAACATGATAAAATAGATATTTATCAAAACATTTCATAAAGAAATATGATTTCATTTCATAATCAAAAGTCGGGATGTCATGTTCCGATACAGATCATAAAGCATAAACGATAGCATTACAAGTCATTCAACAAATATATACATATACAGACTTGTAAACAAAACAACTTGATGTTCGCCCATCTTAAGCTCTTGCGCCACTTCCTGTAAAATAAATCAACTGAGTGGGTCAGGCTTGGGAGCCTGGTGAGCATATAGGGTTTTCAACCCACAATAATTATATTTAATTTCAACAATCAACAATAAACCCGATTACCCATTCCCGTTATCCTCACCTTACGTTCCTAAAAATAACGTCTATTATAAGGAACCTATTTCAGGATTTTTCATCGGGACGGACATTACTGCAGAGGGGCTTCCTCAACAATAAGTGTCCTAAAGGCAACCATGTGGGGGATAGAGTACACCGGTGAACACGTCGTTCACAACACCTACAGGTAATGAGCCTGCTAGTGTTCCACAGGACAGTCTAGAATAGTCCGTGGTCGTCATCCATACTCTGCTGAATGACTAGAATAACACCAATAACACCGAGGCCTCTCATCTGTTTATTACACACCAATTACCTACCCATGTTCTACCCAACATATTAGTAGATAAAAATATACATTTTTATACATAGTTTAAAAACCTGTATAACATGCTTTAAGCAATACATATTCCACATAACAGATGAGGCATACACACATAACACGTATTTCATAGAGAATACATCAGATCTATAAGATAGAAGAGAGTGAATATACACTCACACGTATAACAACCAAATATATACACATAACACGTATTTTATAGAAATACTTCATAATATTGCGTTGGAATGAAAATAACTACACACTCACTTGATCAAAAGATGATCGGGCAGCACTACGGCTTGCAGAAGAGGTGTTTCTCCGTAGATCTGGAAGATCTTCACAAAACCGGGCTCCTCGCGGGCAGCGTTTCGGCTCGGGAATAACGCTCTTCGGGATCCTCGGGGCTTCGGATCTTACTTCGGGGCTCGGGAATATTACCGGGGCTTTGGGGTATAAACGGCACGCAAAACGAGGCAAAACTTAGAGAGAGGGAAGAGTTTGAACAAGAGAAAATGGCTGAATTCGAGTTCTATTTATAGGCTGCTGGGTCTGGGATTACGCGGGGCGTACTCAAATTACGCGGGGCGTACTCAGTACGCGGGGCGTACTCGGGTTACGCGGGGCGTACTTTGACGTCACTGCGTGCGTCGACTGGTGGCACTCGAGTATTGGTCAGACAAGTTGCATCCGACTGAGTACGCGGGGCGTACTCAAATTACGCGGGGCGTAATTGACTTGTCAAACTTCTAAATTGCGTAACTTTCGCATACGAGCTCCGTTTTCGACGTTCTTTATATCCACGCGAAGGTCAGACCATACTCTACAACTTTCATTTAGACTCCGTCGGCTAATTTTGACTTTTATTTTTATTATTTATTTTTAGAAGGCCGGGACAGAAAAACTTCGTTATAAATTCATAACTTCTTCGTCTGACGTCCGTTCTCGCCTAACTTTTCATCGTTTCGCTACTAACAACAAGATCTTCGATTCTCATTTAGATTGTTTCGGCTAAAAACCGCTCGATCTCAAATCGAGTATTCGGGCTGCATACTGCTAAGTCGAAACTTCATAAAATCATAACTTCCTCATACGAAGTCAGATTTGGGCGTTCCTTTTATGCACGCTCACGGTTTAACGAAATCTACGACTTTCGTTTAGATTGCTAAGGCTAAATATCGCTCTATCTTAAATTCATATTTTACGTCACTCGGCGTCGTGTCGGTTCTGTCGCGAAACTTCGACAGGTCATAACTTCTTTGTTATAACTCGAATTTTGGCATTCCTTATATCTCCGGAATCCTTGTTTCGACCACTACAACTTTATGCAAAGATGTCGGGCTTATCTCACACTTAAATTTTGACGCTTATTTTATTCTTAATTTATTAAATTATAAAATTAAGAAAATACACACATAAATCACATAATTCAAATAATTCACAAATAATACATTCTTATTATTTCAAGTTGAGTTACAAGGTTAACCTAGACTATTACATTGCTAAAAATGGCAAGCCTAGAAACACGGGCGTTACATAAACAGTAAGATAAATAAAAGCCAACTTAGCATGGAAATAGAAGCAACTTGAGAAGTTCTGATATCAAATACTCAATCCCTTCATCATCAATTACCAACACCACAGTTTCTGAAGCCTTCTTTGCAAGATTTTGGACTTCATATATTACAAATAAAGCCAACTTAGCATGGAACTAGAAGCAACTTTATCAAGATCACTCTGGGAATGTGAATGTCACAACTTATAAGAATATAGTCAAACCTGCTGGAGTGTTATCTGCCATGCAGACTGAACTTGCGGATGCGTATCAGTTAGCACCTAAAATCAATAAAAAAATTAAAATTATAAATTTGATTATATTAACTAATAAAGATGTAAGCTAACATTGTATTTTTGTCCAAAGTACCTCAGTCAACTTTGGGACAATTTTTTGGCTACGTGAAAGGAAAGTAGTGTTAATAAGCGTATTGTAATATAATTTAAAAGAATATGGGAGAAATTAAATATCACAAAATAAATTGAAAATGTGTTTTAGAATGTTTACCTGACCAAGCAATTGCAGAACCAACTGTGAGCTGTCTAAGGGTTTTATAAAACGAATCATATCGGTCTACTATTACAGTCCAACAAGGAAAAAGAAGTCCTTACTCTAAACACCCACTTTTTCTACATACCAACTCCAACTTGAACTTGACAGTGAAAATTCACTCTCAACAAATGTAGAAGCATCACCAACACTTTTCTGAGCCACAACCTTTTATCCATATTCAATATAACCAATAGATATAAAAAAAAAAATTAGATCATGTTTCAGCTCCTGTGAAGTTAACTACACAAGAAAACATAGATATAATTTTACCTTTGATGTGTTGAAAATTACGTTCTTACAATCTGGAAGAATGCTCACATACCATAACTATTGCTGCAAGAGTAAAATATGATCCTATTTCCTGAATTATAGAAAGGAAAACTACAAAGCACCCATTTAGAAGTGGTGAATTGCTCATAGTCACAGTTTTTAACAGATCAACTATTTTGACCATAATGAGGAGCCAGTGATAGTTTTAAATAATTAGTGGCCTATATCATTTCAATAGAGGTTCTTGCTGAACTATTTTGACCACAACTATTGCTGGTCCCAAGGTTCTTGCTGGATTCATTGATGCTCCTATCAGTGGCCTATATCATTTCAACAAAGGGAAAATGTGAACAAAGAGGGTACCCTTTTTTTTAAACTTCTATCAACATACCCAATTATCATAATATTAAGAAGGTTCACTTTATACGTACACAGCTATAAGAATATTAAGCATGACAGTTGCTCCCACAGCTATTCCCGCCAGCTCGCCAACCTGTGGTGAAATAAAAATCAGGGCTTAGGCTGTGCTGATTTTACATTTGAAGATTTTTTTGCAGTAAGTGATTCTTTCATATTAATTCCTTCTTCTCTGATGATTAATAAATAAATATCTTTAATAAAAATGATCTCTATCTAGACCATTATACCCTTGAATTGTATTCACAAGATTTTACATTATTTTTTTGTTATTGATAAGTATCATAAGATATTAGATTAATAATTAAAACATATTTGACCATCTGTGCCCCTATGTACACCGGCACCTACCACCAGTTTAATTTAACCATAGTTAGTTTTAGAGGATTAATTAATTAATTAATTAATTAATTAGAGGTGTTATTAATTACATGCTTGGATCTTCACTACAAACCGAAAGGGCATTATGGTCACATAAAACTCAGCAATCCACTGCTGATGGTGGGCTGAATTCATAATCCGAGTATGGATAAACTCATTTCCCAAAGCAGGTATTCCTTATCTTCACTACAAAGCAATGTTTTTTGTTCTATCAATAGAGAATTATATGTCCATTAATTTAATCATATAGACTGGATAAACTAATTACCCAAAGATTGTATTCCTTATCTACAGATGACAAACAAATCATCCAAAGATGGTATTTTTCCAGATTAATTATTCAATTTTTCGATAAATTCACAATCCGAGTATGGAACATAGCACATTCCAGCATAGTTGTTGCATAATTGAAGGAAAATCAGGATGAATACCAATCTGAACAAACAACCATATGAAATCTAACCTGTTTACTCATCAAAATTGAATTAGTTATGAAACCGACCACATACCTTGGGCCACTACTTGCTTTAACAATCACTGTGATAAAAGAAACATAAAGCCTCAAAAAGTAACAGCATGATAGATGTAGTTTAGCATAATACAAAAAATTCATACCCTGGATAAGACAAACATACAAAAAATTCATCGTACCATAACATATTCTCGAATTTATGCTCAAAATATTAAATGTGAGTATGTGTGTGAGGTGCTATGTGCGACTGCTAACAGTGTATCAGAATGGGATCGAGAATCAGAAAAGTAGGGGGAAGGATATCGCACCCAAGAAATCAAACAAGAAAAATTAAAATTTAGGGAGAAGGAACAAAGCATACCTGAGATGCTTAGAGAGTAGAAGTGAGGATTGTGGAATGAGGAGGAAATCGCCATTGAAACCTACATAGTTTTTCAGTTAGGGTTTAACACAGGAGAAGATGAGAAGATCCAAAATCGAAATCAAAGCTATGAATAGAGGAGAAATTAAAGAAATAGAAGAACGAAAACATTAGGAAGAATGAATAACCAAACCATATCTTAGTCAGGCTAGGGTGTGGAAATTTGAGCAGTCTCCAACGAGGTCACATGAACCCGAGGTCGCCGGAGGAAAATACCCCTAAGGTCGTTGGAGGAGAAGTGAGCAAAGATGTTGTCGGCAAGGTGAGGCGAGATGTCGATCGATTGTTGCATAGGCTAGAGAGCACCAAGTGTTTCCGTTCTTGAAAAAAAAGCCCTAGTCCCTGCGATTTTGTGGAATTTAATAGTACTATCCTTGCTTGTCTTCTTCTTTGCTTCTTAAATAGTAATAACAATCTCTATGAAATCACAAGTTGGGTTTTAGGTTAGAGGGAAAGAGAGAGGAAGACGAAGACGCTAGGCTTCTTTCTTGCTAATTGGAAGCGGAGCGGGTTTTAATTTTTCACATGGAATAGGCGGGGTTTTAATTTTTTGGGATTTCATTTCCCCCTTTCAAGAACGCGCGTTTTGAGTAAAACATAAAGCGACATTCACAAAGGACGCACAATTTTAGATAAAGTGCCCTCCGTGCTTTTATTTTTTTTACTTGAGACACTAATCTAAGGGCACGCAATAATCCGTGACATAAATCCTTAATTTTTTTGAAGAGACGACACTTTTTTAATGTCACTCTCTTTTGCGTAATATAAATCAATGAGTGTCGTGGTTTGCGCGTCGTAAAAGAGTCTTTTTCTTGTAGTGTATATAAACCAACACATGGAACAAGATTTAGCTAATAACATAATTAGTAAAAATTAATCTAAGAACAATTACTAAAAAATGATTTTATCTAATTTTTCAAGTTCAGTTTAACTTAAACTATTTACGTAACTATAAACTAATCAAACAACTTAACTATAAACGATTGTAACGATGATTATGAAGACACTTTCATTTAGCTTTGAACCCCCATTTTTTCATATGGATAGTTTCTAAACATGGATTTATTTAGTTGGTTACCAATATTGTGTAACATTTTAGATTTGGTATGTTTCCCTTTTAACCCCTTAATGAAAAATTTCTATCTTTTTGGTCCCTAGCTAGTACGCAGGGCGTACTCTATGAGTACCTCAGTGTACTAGCTCGTTTCAGGAATGCGGGTTCGCCCACGTACGTTGGGCATACGTGGAAGTACGCAGGCTGTATGCTAAGCAGGGATAAACCCTATTTTTAGGGGTTGTGCCCTATTTAAGCAACTTATAACACCTATGGATCTTCTCTTGATCAACCTTGATCACTTTATACCCTAAGATCGAATCCTTAGCCTCTCATAGTGTGTTCTTGAGGTTTGGAAGTAATTTTGGTGTTGCTTTGTGTGCATCGAAGAAAGTGGTTCTTGGTGACCAATATTTGGATGGACTTGAGGTTGTAGATCCAGAATCTTCACCAAGTTTGCTAGCTCCAAAATGTATAAAGTTCTTATCTTGGAACCTCTTTGTGTTAAATTGAGATTATGACTTGTTTTTGACCTTATTATGGTCTTTTGGGTTCTCTTTGGAGTTCGAGTCCCTTCATGAGCTAGGATGCTAGATCTTAACCCTTATGATGTTCCCTGTGTGAATGTTTTAAAAATTGCCAACTTTCAACAAGCAAAAATCTCTCAAACAACTAGCTCTAAATTGGCGGTGCTCTCAACTATGTGAAAGTATAATTTTATTAAATAGAGCAACTTCAAAAACTTATATGCCAATATAATCAAGTGACACTTTTTGACATCATATATCTACAAGTGAAAAGCACAAACAACAATGATTAATCCAAAATAAAGAGCAAAGCTTTTGGATTAATCATTGTTGGTTGTGTTTTTCAATAGTTGAAATTCTAGTATGAGGAAATTATGATTTTTAGAAGTTTCAATGCAACAATGCACGACACTGAAACCAAAATAGAAATTGGTTGATTATTATCCAAAACAATCTAAACAATAGCTGAAGATCTCATAGATACAATTTCGTCGATATAAAGAAAATCGAGAACAAATGTTGTACGAAGGAGTCATTGGTTGTATGAATGTATATGTATTGTGATATATAGCATTTTGGAAAACTTACTAAGCTTCGTGGTTATCCGATTGAATATAAATATTTTTCAGGTACTCCATTGATTCGTAAGAAGGACAATGTTCAACTGTACACACATGCATTCACAACATGTTTCCGCATAATGTAATTACACTATGATGTATTTGAATAAATAAAAATGAAATTTTGGATTAAAAATTGAGGACGTTACAGGTTATCGTTTTTTCACATGACATTTATCTTCATTTTTAGGTTGAGATGAAAAAAAATAAACAATCTCATTTATTTTTACTCGAGTAAATGACCGTTGAGTATGTTTTATCTTAGACAAAAGGCAACATCTTTTATTTTTGTTTTCATTTTAATATAAAAACGAAAAAAATAAATATCATGTCATAAAACAACTAGTAATTTCTTAAAAGGGATATATACATTAAAGTCTTGATATTTTCATCGATTTGACAAGAAAGTATTAAATTTATTTTTTTGACAGTAAAATCCAAATTACCGGCAGCTTTTTGACACTTTCACCCTTTTTCCCGGTTAGCCGGTAATTAGGATTTTTTTGTCAAAAAAATAAAAATAAAATAAAGTTTAAGATTTTCTTGTCAAATCGTCACTTAGTACTTTATTGTCAAAAAAATAAAGTTTAGAAATTTCTTGTCAAATCGTTGAAAATAATAGGACTTTAGTGTATATCTCATTTTTTTTGTTAGAAATTTAATGGTAGGATACTCTTTAAGCATAAGAGTTATTAAGATATTCTTTAGTCAGATAGATCCTATTGAAATCCTTAACATTTGTTTTTTGTTAAATCGTTTTTTTAATCTCAACAAACCAAAATTTCCTTAACATTTATTTCTTTCTTGAGTATCTCAATTTTTTTCAATGTTAGTTTGTTGACATTAAAAAAACGATTTAACAAGAAGTAAACGTTAAGGATTTCAATAGGATTTAGCTGATTAGAGAAGATTTTAATACCATTAAATTTTTAACAAAAAAAATTATATATAACTAAAGTCTCAATATTTTTAACGATTTGACAAGAAAGTCCTAAACTTTATTTTTTTGACAGTAAAATCCTAATTGACGATTTGACAAGAAAGTCCTAAACTTTATTTTTTTTTTGACAAAAAAGTCCTAATTACCGGCTAACCGGGAAAAAAAGTAAAAGTGTCAAAAACTAACGGTAATTTGACATTTATCTTCATTTTTAGGTTGAGATGAAAAAAAACATAAACAATCTCATTTATTTTTACTCGAGTAAATGACCGTTGAGTATGTTTTATTTTAGAAAAAAGGCAACATCTTTTATTTTTGTTTTCATTCTAATATAAAAACAAAAAAAATAAATACTATATCATAAAACAATTAGTAATTTCTTCAAAACCGAATACTTGGATTAATATGAAATATAAATGAAAATACAAGGGCTATTTTGCATATAAATAAAATATAAGGATTTTGAACGCTGTTATTCTAAAGAATATGTATCTATTAATTTACTCTATATTTGTCCTCTGAAGAAACCCTTATATATTTTACGATTGCATATGGCACTCTGTTTGCTCACACGCGGTCAAAAGCATCGGTCATCAAAACACACTTTTCCCAGAACCCCCTCGCCATCTCTCTTCGCCGCCGTAGTGCGGTAGAGTACGCCGTCGTTCGCACACCGGTTGAAATTCTCGTTGCAACAAACAATCTAACTCTTCTAACTTCTGTTTCAGATCCTTTTCTTTTTCATTGCATGCTCCCAGATAAAGAAATTCTAAATTCTTTGTGTACTCGAAACCCTATTTTTTAATTTTTTTTTTCTTTTTAATTTCCGCTCCTTTGCTTGTGATTTTCTCAAGCAGAGTTCCATCAAAAGACACAGGAACATACTGGTACGTTTCTTGGTACGTGCACGCAGTGTATTACGAAATTTCCTATTTTTGTTTTTCGCTATGGGTTTCTTTTAAAGCCAAATCGGGAAAAATATGAAAATTGGAGTGATTTTTGTGCGTATATCACAGTCTGTTACATCCCTTTTTAAAATGTACTATATCTTTTGATTGGATTGCAGCAGATTCACTTCCAACTTCAAGATTGATGTGATTTTGTGAATTTATAGAAAGATTTCTACCACTTCTAACTTTTTTTTTGTGCTTTTGTCATATCGCTCACTTTTGACAACATACTCACCACTTTCGTGATGCCTTTGCAGTGAATGATATAATCTGAATGGACATTGCCGAGTTCTTTAGGGATACTGGTATTCTAGAACTGGAAACAGGATCAGTTAAATTGGAGAAAAATCTTGATGGAGTATCGAGTCAACAAATACAAAACGATACTGATGTAACCCTGAATAAAAGGTCCAAGATTCATGGTGTAAGACAAGAAACCGAAGAAAATAGAAGCTCTAGTGGCACCAGTGTGTTGGATCAAGAACAGTCACCAGCTGATGATGCAAATCTGTGTTCAACATCTCCAATATGTGCTGCACCTCTTTGCAGACAATTTTGGAAAGCTGGAGCTTACAACGATGATCTTACTCCGAAGTCCACAATTAAATGTATTCACCTTTACAAATCACACTATCATATTTTATTTTCCCACTTCATTCTAATGACTTGTTTCTTACATGACAGCTGGTTCTAGTTATCTACATATACACCCGAAATTTCTTCACTCAAATGCCACATCTCACAAATGGGCTTTTGGTGGTATGTTAAGTTTTACAATTACTTTGCATAAAGTCACAACTTTTTAAATATTAACACTCTGTTAACTTGCATTTCAGCCATAGCTGAGCTTATTGATAATGCTGTGGATGAGGTAATTAGCTTCTAAATTTCTTCTTATTAAACA